TATGCCAACAGGCTACCATTTGGCACCTCAAAGCCCCAAGCCGTCCTGGCACACACCCCGCGCCAGTATACGCGCGCGCGTACGGAACCGCGGCGCGGGTTCCCCGCGCCCAGGTTCTGGGTGTCCCCGAACGCAGTGGGTGCGGAGAGCGGTTTCAGCTCCAGTGATCTCGGGGGCGATGATGCCGGAGGAGACTTCGACGCACTCCTCCACACGACCGAGCGGTCAGGGCTCGACTCGGTGAGGCTGGGAGAGTTGCGAAAAGGGAAGGAATTGGTGTCGTGGCGAGGTCTGATGGAGAACGATTCCTTCTCAGAATTGGTTTTAAAGGATGTTTTTTCTGCAGGAAACCCTAGTTTTTGGAAGTAAAGCCGTGGTTTCCCGTAGATTCTCCCTTTATCCAATCCATTGATCCCTGGTTGGTGTTACTACAACCTTCTTTCCCACAACAGGTCTCGAGCATTGTGCTGGTTCTTTTGGTCTATCGAATGAAGCCGGCCCGACAAAATTATCCCAACCATCCGCCGATCCTGGTTGAAGGCAGTGGCGCCGAATGTGCCTTTTGTAGCCTGGCGTCGCCGCCCCAGTCGGTGGGGGAAATGGACGCACCCTCGGCCAAACAACGTGTCTAAACCAACCAACCAACCGCACCGCCCCGGTGGTGCCAGTGTAAGACGCAGCCAGTGAGGCGCTTCAGGCTGCTCTTCGTCCGTCTCCTCACCGGGTCGCTGTTGGCATCACACAGTGGCATCTCTCCCAAACGACGACCAAATGATGGAGTTGGTGTCGGGGGCCATGACCTTTAGACCTTTCGTTGCATTTGGATGGATCATGTTGAAACGATGATGTCTTAGGAGGTTATTAAACTCAATGGCTGCGTATCTGTGTGACTGTATGTATGCTTGTCAATTCCTGGTCCTGCAGGTCAGCATCCCAAAAACTAACTAAAAGCAAACAGTTTTCGTGGCCACCAGTGGCCACCGCTGCATATCTCTCAACATCTCTCGCCTATAGCTTCATCAGTGCATGCTCATGTTTACCTGCAACTCCTGACATTCTGTCATCCCATGTATCCTCGCATGCGTTTTTGGACAGTTCGGCTAAACGACCATATCATCTCGACTTGAGGTCCGCAAATAGTGGTTACCCGAGATGTTTTGGAAGATCTGAGACGAAGGATCTCGCCTCAAGACACCCGTCTCGTCTCGAGTCCATCGGTTCGGTGGAAACCGAAGAGAGCGAACCGATTTCCCGATGGATTCTCGTTTTTCCAAGTGATCCCCAAGTTTGTAGATAGTGGGACGGTTTCCAAGACATTCTGAACGTGGGGATCTACATTTCTATCGATCTTTTTGCGGTCTATATACAAACCTCGTGGGTTCTCACCAAAGGAGGCCTGCTCTTTGATGGGGTTCTGAGTGCAGTGTCCACAGGAGGTCTTGGAGAGCTGGAGACTCAAAAGGGAACCGTTCTGTTGGTGCGTCCCATGGACCATACAGGGACAGGGCTATATAGGCCTTTCAGTTCGTACAAGTGCGGGGTGGATGACAGCATAAACCAATACCAGGTTTGATGTGAATGCCTACTACCCGCTGTCCTGACAATCATCAAACACGCCACTCTGTTTCAAAACCGCCCACAGTCCTGTGCAATCTGTTCCTCCACTTGGGATTCCTACAAACACCTAAGCCCAGCCGCTTCCAGCCCTGACGGAGTCAGAAAACCGAGTCCTCCGGAAGAGTCTCTTCTGACTTCACATCCCTAGCTTGTGGTCGACCTGGCACGCCGAGTGGAGAAGAACCGAGCATCGAGCGGAGAAGAACCACAGACCGATTGGCCGAGGTCGGCCGCGATCACCCAGCCGATCCCGGGTTTTCTTCAGGAGTACCATCAGCCTGCGTGATCAGTTCATACAGTTCATACCCCAAACCGCTGTCCAAGAAAAGGCAGGCAGACAGATTCCCCGAAGCGCACCGGGCGGAGGGAACGGCTCCGGCTCGGAGGTTCTTCGGATGCCGTCGCCGCCTCGCTCGTTGAGCACCACTTGGAAGCTCACGGGTTTGGAGATTTCCCATCCTTCGGCCAAATCCTCGGTCTTCGGCGGGGCCGGTTTGGTCCAGGACCTTGTAAAGGCCTAAGAAGCAAGTCAGTCATATCATATGATCGTTTTTCGACGCGATACGGATCTTCCAGGATTCATCAGGATTCTGATGCACGCCTGCTGACAGACGTAGCACCGTGCTTCTTGATGCCTGTTGTGGACGCCTCTTGTGAATATCATCTTTAGAAATGAAGGGATCGCCACTAAAAGGGCGGATCGTGTGGGAAGAAAGTGCTCCGTCAGACTCCGTCAGACGAGTGGCGGGCCAGACTTCTCAGGTGGCTTGTCATCAGATTGCCAGACGTCTCACCACTGATTACAAGGTCTCCAAAATGGCCATACAGGTCGGCCTTTCGATCAGAAGGCGGCTGACATAAAGGGAGCTTAGTGACTGATGTCCGGCAACATGTCGTTGGTGACACTTCAGGGAACCAACAGGCCCGAAGCTCGCGGAGTTCCGAACGAAGCTCGCAGCAAACATCGCGAGCCCGTTGGACCTCTCTAAGGGCCCGGCCGCTTTGGTGATGTAAACATCGCGATTGTACAAAAGGTGTGTTCTGCGACATTTGATGAAGCCATACCTCAGCTTGATCAGAAAAACACACCACTGGCGGACCCTACTGTCATTGGATCCGGACCCGGTTCGGATGCCGAGGCCGCCCGTGTTCCGAGGGGCGTTCCTCCGCTACTGCATGAGACCAAGCTTGCAAGCACAGCAGGGAAGTCATCAAAGGGCACAGAACCATTTGAACCGACGTCGTGTTAGTGGCATACCATGTGCTACATAGGGAGCGACGTAGTTCGATTCTCAAAGTGTCTGATGAAACATCTCCACGTCGCGGATTGTCCTTCAGTCACCCCCAATGGTCCGTTCTCCCCCAAAACGACCGATCGGTTGGGCTCCCGGGCGTATCTCCAACACTCTTAAGCACACCAAAGTAGCGGATGCAGGCCTCCCACCGGCGGCTTAAACTGTGTTCAAGCGGTGAAAGCACGCACCAAACTCGATTCTCACCATGGATTCCGCTGCTGAGACACCCTCTACACTCTACACAGTGCTGGGCTTGAATCGACCAAAGGAGTGGAAAGAGAACCAAATGGCTTTTGAATGGAACACGGAACCCGCTGTCGTCCAACATCGTCCAACATCGTCCGAGTCGTCCGCGGTGCAAGCACCGTCCGAGTCATCCCACGCTTGCCGTCCGAGGTCAAGGCCTCTTCTTCACCTGACCTCAGCCGATGGGTCACTTTGACCAAAAAAAGACCCAGAGAACCCCACGACGGAGCTGGAAGACACCAGGTCAAGTTTTTCTGTCATGGGCTTTCCAGCGGTCACCTTGGGTGAAAGCACCCGTCAAACATGGACTCCCTTGGTTTCGGAGATTGCCTCCTACATCCATGCGCGGTTCTAATGCTGAGCTTGGCTAAGCTTATCAAATCTAGAGAGAACAAGGATCCAATGCGGAACCAAACGTCCGGTTCTACCTTAATCTTTTAAGGCTTGAACCCTATTCTCCAAACTATTTGAATGACCCCCATCCAGCTCACGAGTGCCAGGGGTCCTTGCTAGCTTTTGCTAGCTAGGCTCTAGTCATTCTAATGAATCCAATGCATGCAAGATGTCCCTCTCACTGTTACAGCTTTCAGCCATCTCCATCTGGATTGTTGCTCGAAGCAAGGGCAATGAGCTGCAAGCATCTGAAGAAACCCCGAAACAAACCCACCATCTGTCCCTCTCACAAAGGCCCTGCCGAGGCCCCGGGCATTCTGAAATGAGGTGAAGTTCTTAATTGACACGCTGCTGGACCCCAATCAAACTAAAATACGGATCGCAGCATCACAGGCGTGTCCCATCTGAGCCGAAGTCGTCGTGATGAGCAATGGAGTGACTCAGCTGTTGCGTCAGTACACATTGCTCAGGATCCAGAGACTGAACCAGACCCAATCGAAACGAATCGAAACCAAGCCAAGGAATGGAAACCCATCTGTTCATCCTTTGGCTAACATCATCAGGCCTTGAGTTTTGGATTGTTTCGGATGGTGTCCATTGGCCTCCACAGGCAGTCTGTGAGACTTCTCCCACACTTCGCGGGTCGACTCCCAAGCAACCGATCCACGGTCGACTCATCTTCGGGTGAGGGCCATGGCCATGGGGACCCACCCAGAGAAGGTCAGTCAGAAGCTAAGTTCTTCTCGCTTTAAGTGAAATGAGTCCAGGTCAATGGAGGCAGGTGGAGAGGTCGTTGGAGACGTTGGTCCCGACAGCGAGACCCTGCCTGGATGTGCCCAGAAAGGGAAGGTCTGGATGACTGGAGGACGTGAAGAGTGATGTAGCTTCAGTGATTCAGTGCTTGTAACACCCCACGTCCATAGTGATGTAGCTTCCTCAATACATCTTTGCTGAACAAACTGCCATAGTGATTTCCAAATGTCTTGTTGGGGCAAGTGGGCTGGTGAGGAGCCATTAGTGCCCATGTTAAGCCGTGCATCTTTCCGCCACCCCCTTTCCGCAGTCCCGACACGAAGAGTCACGAAGAAACACATCGATGACAAAACAAACATCGAAAAAAAAAGAAAAACGACACTCTTGGCTCCACGAGATGGTTTCAGGTCCACAAGAGCAAAAGAGCACGTGAGTGTCTCTGAGTCCAACCCATCCGCGTCTTGGCCCGTCCCCCCGTCGCTGCCCACCTGTTTTCCGCGCTTCGCGGACGTGGTTTCGACATGGTCTCGTGGATGGTGGTTTTGCAGGCTTGGAGCTGATGAGCTGGGATTGACACCGATGACATCTGGAAAAAGGAACATAAAACCCAAACAACATCCAACAACAGCTTGTAAAGAAAAGAAATCATCATCCCCATATGCTTCGGTTCTTGTGTTCATGTTCCGCAAGGTTGAAGATCTCACGTGCCACTTCCCATCAAACTCCGTGCGACAACGCCAGCCACTCCACAAGCCACTCTACTCTCGCCTGTCCAGCAGGTAGTTGAAGCGATCACCCGTCTCGCATCGGGGCTTCACCTCAGCCGTCCATCCGAAGGTCCGCTTCGGTCCCATCGGTGGCTTCAGCGCCGCCCAGGGGCCGCAAAAGCTAAGCTGCGCAAGGACAGGTGTTTTGTCCCTTCCGCGCCGAAGTCAAGGCTTTCCTCCAACAATGAGTTGGTTCGGTTGAGGCGGGTCGCCCGGCCATCTGAATAGCTATGAGGTCGGGATCTGGTCGATCAACTGAAGCTGTTCGGCCCCAGAAATGGAGCTCGTTCGGCCCGGTTTCCCGGTTTCCGCCCCGGTGAAAACTAAGAATCCAACTCCAGTGATGCGAGTGATCAGCGCCTTGGAATCGCGCAGCTAAAGTGGCTAAAGGCTTCACAGGCGCAGGGTGGTCTGGTGACTTCTGCTCCTCGACCCAGGTTTCCGCTCATCGTTCCACGGATCTGGAGAGTAGCGGAGGAATGCAGGAAATCCGATCCATTCTGAGATTTATTTTTGATATATATATGATGATGAAAGATGTTGAAGACTTCATGTCAACAGGTGCAGCTGGTGTTTGCCAGGTGTCCTTTCTGAAAAGGACGACAACAAAAAAGGAATTCGAACGAGAAGTCACGGCCAATATACGAAACAATTAAAAGAATAAAACATCCTTTGCGGGCCAGCGGACTTATAGGACCGAGTTCCGAGCGTATGTTCAGAAGAATAAGTTGTCATAGTCATAGAGCAAAAGGTTTGGTTTATGTAGAGAAATGATTGCTCTGGCTTTGTCCAGATTTTCGGATACAGCACATCATCTACTGTTTAGCCCCTTAGCCTATCAAGCCCAGGTCCCAGGTGAACTCCGCCCAAGTCCGACGATTTCTCTCGGCCCATGGCTGCGAGGTGGGTGAAGAAGCCACTCCTGACCCAATCAAAATGAGTTCAGACGGATCCACATGGTCTACACGCTAGTAAAATGGGACTGTGAATATGAGTTCAGACCTGATGATGTAGATGATGTAGATGATGGGACCACTTTCGGGTCCGAAAGGCTGAAAGGAAGACACCTCCCCCGCGAATGAACCGAGGCGGTTCTAAAAGAGATAACGGATGCGGGTGTTTTTCCAAATTGCTAGTTGAAGCAAGCATCAAACATCTTGCATGAAGCGCGTTTACTCAATCCTCCCATTCCCTAATGATGGTTCTTCTTTAATCCTCTTTTAATAGCGAGCATCCTTTATCATCGTTTATCTCTCTATCTCCCCTTCATCTCGAAACCTGCACTTCATATCAACCTTCCACCCTCGCCGCACGGCGTTTTTACGGCGGGATCTCCTGTCCAGGATCGGATTCATGTGCCCCGTCACGATGCAATAGTTCGTCTCCTCGGGAGCGAACGTTCGAGCACCAATCGGATTGACCTTTGATTAACTCACTATATACTATAGTCGGCCTCCAGTCGTTGTTCCATCTCAGAATTATAGACCCCAAAAGCCAAATGTCTGCGAGAATCCTCCCCAGCCTCCACCCGATCCCTCGATCCCTTTGCCTCCAAGGCACAAAGGGCGGCTTGTGATGGCGCAGGTGTGCCGATCGATGCACCAGAATTCCACCTGGCCAGACGAAGAATGCCTTTCAGTCATGTTGCCATGTGAGTGCTTCATGTTGAAGCACCTCAGTGCGGTTCCTGATAGTTCAGCGACACTTCCTGCCGCCAGGGCACGGTCTTGCAGCCAGTTGATGACTGGATGGCACTGCGACCGGAGCGTATGGCTCCACTTGTGAAACCTGAGACTTCAGCGAGCTCGACGTGAAAGCGTTGCAGAATCTGAGACTGAATGGCCATCGCGGGTCCCCAAAATCGCTGAACAACCACTGACAATCAGATTCTGGAGGTCAACCATTTCTACTCGGCATTGGGAAAGTATCTTGACTCATGATTTTCTGGAAGGTGCAGGAGAAAGAACTGGTCCATCAACCCATATCAACACAAAACTCTTCCATCTGGCCTCTTCTGCCGCAGCCATCAAACCCTGGTGAATCGTGACTGTCCTGACCCCGACAGGGCCCAAACTCCTGGCAAAAGGCGATGCCGGCACAGGCGACGATGGCCTCAATCGGCGGCCCGAATTTTTTATCACGACGGCGCCGCCGGTCCCTGTCAGAAGAGTGGAAAGATGTGGCAAGATCAATCTGGTCTTATCGAATGAACGAGTCCAGATCCGTTCAGCTGGGGAACCTCTGTCCCAAAGGTGGGCTACCCCTGGCATGATCTTCGATACCGCTACCGAGCGGTTTCACCCATGAAACCCATAGGTCAGGGCCTCCCGCAAGACAGACCCATCTCAGCCATCCTTGCTCCAAACTGAGAAGTCCGCGCCCACAAGAGAACCACCGGCGATGGGCAGAAGAGCTCAAAGCCCAGGAGAAATGGCATTGTGGCTATGCAGGTGGGAAAGCAATTGTTGCCTCAGCGGCCAAAAAGCCAGAGAGAAAATGACCCAAAAACACAAAAGGTGTATGATAACATCCCCTTTGACGTGTAGTGAAATCCCGTTCTTGTTTTTGAGGGGTCCACTTCTACCCCAGGGGCGGATGGCACTTATTCTCACTACAAATCTTGTGAGTCGCAGTGACCAACTCCGAGCGGGCCCACTAAATCCCCCGGGACGGATCACCGGGATGGGTTTCATCTCCAATGTGTGGACGTGCGTGTGTTCCGTCAAGCCAACAAAGCACCGTCCGAACCAAGGTACAAAAGTCCCTGTAGGTGATGGTCCAAGGCTCTTCATGATGGCCTCACCGCCGTGCGCCAGAACAGGCGCCTGGTCTGGTGCTGCCCCAAGCATCGAGCCATAGTTTACAATAAGCCCTGACAGATCCCATTGCATCGTTGGAGACCATCATTAGCATCGCTTTCCAGATGCAAAACCATTGGACTTCAAGTTTTCCGAAAGTCCACGTGGCACACCCGCGCACCTCCCATGTCCCTCCCTGCCTTGGAAGGCCTCAATCTGAGATCCCACGATGGGCGTCTGGGCGCTCCCATAGTTGTCCACCTCACGCACGAAGCCCAGTGGGTGTCTGGAGAACAACTCTCCCAGGGCCGAAGCTTGGGCCTTTGTTTGATGCTTCCCTTTCAGGGAGGGAGAAATGGACCCAATCCCATAACGACCTTCCCCAGCCTTGGTGGTTCTTCTTGGGGGTTCAACTGTTCCTCCTCCCCACGGATTACGGACCGCCGCCCCCACCGAGAAGTGGTAGACCCCGGTGCCAAAGTCGGCGAACTCCACCCCGGCGACCACCGCGCAGGCGTAGAGCAGCACCTGAGGAGCGACTGTGACACAGAGAAGCGACCCACTGGAAGGGATGGACCCGAACACCGATGGCCGATGTACCTGAAGAGGGTCGCGCAAACATGATGTAGTGGGTGAACCTGCAAACACTAGCAGGGTCGCTTCGGAGATGTTTTTTTTTAAACTAAAATCCAACAAAACCGTGCTTTTCACCATCTGTCTGCAAACCAATGAGAAGACAACATTGGGATTTAGAGGATGGTCTCCCGGTGGACTAGGTATGACTATAGGTAATGTTCACTTTCCTTTTGAACGCCAAACGGGCCAAACATTTTAACCACCAAACGATCGACCCCTTTCGTTCACTGTCATGAAACGTGAACACTTAGTAGTATGGCAGAGTACCTCCCTGCAAACAGACCAGTGAATCACCCATCAATCCCAGCTCGCTGCGACACGCGACATCTCGACTTGCCTGTGGTGCGGCACAGCTCCCGGAGAGGAGCGCCACCTTCGCCAGGCCCAGAGACAAAAGCACCTGAAGACGCACGGTTGTCGCTTCTCTCGCCGGAGACTGACGGAAATCGACCAAGTGTCCAAATTTCATCTGGTGTTTTGTACTCAATGCAATGGTATTTCAAAAGCGAAAATACCAGCAAAGGAGGTTGAAATATCATGTAGCCAGACTTCGATCAGAAATGGATCTGAGTCGAAAATGAGATATGACGTGTCTGACAGCTGCATGTCGCTGCTCAATGTTCAGCTACCCCCAACCATCAACCTGCGGACGAGGGCGCAAACATGGAGCCAACAATGCAGCGCTGGCGGAGCGAAGCGGAGAGCACATCTCCTTCCACCAACGGTTTGAAGTACTCCGCCTGTGCGGCGGCGAGCGCGGCGCACCGCCGTCGTCGACGGGTGATCGCCGTGCGCAAGCTGCATAGACCTTTGCATATTGGTCCAATGGTTGACATGTTCAGACCATCCCACCCAACCCCCAGCTCCAGCCACCCAACGCCTGCTGGGTCGGACGACGACAACAGCCCCCGCCTCACCCTGGGAGGGTGGCCGTCGTGCGACCGCGCGGCGGCACGAGCGAGGTCGGGGCGTTCGGGACTGCGAGCAGCTCTGGAGCCTGACCGGTGAGCATGTTTCAGAGTGGCCTTCTCTCACCTGACTTACCCCCCAAAAATAAATATGGAACCCAGACTGCGCACTTGCATCTGTGGTTCTGAGCTTCGGCGTAGGTGGGTTCGTCCGTTAAGGAAAGAATGACCGTGCCATGATGGTGCCATGGCGGCATCATGGGTCGAACACGGTCAGAAAAAAACGCCACAAAGCAACAGGGACGGAGGTTCAACAAGTCACGGGTTCTCAATACAGACCCGAGAATTGGACCCAAAAAGCCCAAAGCTGTGAAGGGAATCATGGTCTGGCAGCCATGGGGATGGATGTGAAGCGTCCAAGTGGGTTGTTAGGAGGGGACTCACCCCAGAGCTCAGCAGCATGTGTCTCCAATCTCCCCAACTCGCATACAAGCTCCACCCCGTTCGCATAGAGTTCGACCCCCAAAAAGCGGACGGCGACCTGTGACCCAGCCGCGCAAGAAGCGCGGCACGGAGCAAGCCTTGGCACACTCCACCGGGTGGGCGCGACCAAGTTCACATGGGTTCATCACTTCTAAAGACCACCCGACTGGGCCTTCGAAGCTCACACAAAGGGAGTAAGAAAGGAAGCCCTAAAGAACCAATCAGACCGTTGTTTCGTTCAGCAAGATATTGCCTTCTCCATCCATCCATGTTCGTGGCACCCCTGAGGAATCGCCCTTTCGAAGGTCTTGGCAGGGGATGCCCGAGCTACGAATGGATCTCAATCAGCTCTGGAAAGGGTCTTTGGTTCGCCACGAACAAGAACAATCTAAAAGGCCCAAACCATGTCACAGCGGATAGTATATCTTTTACATTGTTTTACCGTGATGTGTGATTTCAAGAGTCCAAAAAACATAGCTTTGCTTCTGCTGGAGACACCAAGGAAATGACTCGCTTAGATTCGCAAAGTAGTAAATGGTCCAAAAGTTCCCTGACCGACTCAGGAACCCGGCCTGGCACAGCAACCAAGTTGAGGCCTGGCGTTACGAGGGCAGCCACTCTAGATGGGCCTATGGACCGAAGGCCTGAAGGTGACTCCAATCAGCAGGCCACTAGAATGATCACTGTGCCGTGCTTGTCCAAGCCCACGAGCACAGCAGGTGTGAGGCATGGCTTTGCGCAAATCGACCATCTCTCTTTGAAGAATCCTTCATGGGGAGGCAAGCTTTCACTTTAGACTTTAGACCGGAAAATCATTGTCTCAAGCAACCTCCATCAAATCTCTGGCCCTTTTCCAGTGATTAGACTCTTCTTCTTTCGAAAAGGCCCCTGCAACCGCGCCGCTGCTGGCCTGTCGGCCATGCTGCTCCCTCCGCACGAAAGCTTCGCTGCGTTCCTCTGTGGCGCCGCAACTGAGGCGTCCGTTGGAGCGCCTGACATGGAAAAACACGGCGGGATTTGGGGTGGAGCTCTTAGCAGCTCTAATTTTGTCTGTTGAGTTTGTTGGATGAAAAAATCCTGGTCCTCCTGGTCCTTGGGCGATGCACCCAACGCGCCCCGTATTGAACGACACCACGCGTAGGTCTCAGCCTCTCTCTGCAGAGGCGACAGAGATGGCACTGTCACAGCAGCCATGGAGACGTTCCAAAACGGATGTATCTGATGGATACAACAGCCATACTGGGTATCATTGAGTAACACGTTCCAAAATGGTTCCAACAAATGGTTCGGTCCTTTGACTTGCTGTTGACGGTCGATCTGCTTCCTCCATTCTCATCCATTCTCCATAGGGGCGGTTCAGCTGGCATGATGGCCCTTCTCTGGGGGAAAGGTCTGGGCGTACGCCTTTTCGGTGAATTGACCGGCTGAGGCATCGGGAGCTGGGGCTGAACTCGTCGGAACTCGTCGGAACTGTCTGTGCATCGAACGTGCATCGAACGAAACACTCGAACGGGAGAGATGGTAGACTCCATGTCTCTGCTTGTTTTGACTTTCCGTTGGTTTGCGGCCATGAGCCAAAGCGCTTGCCAAGCGACCGAGGGTTCACTGAAAAGACTGGATTGGATGTGCTGATTCCGTCTGGGGCCTTTGTCTTATATGGTGTTGAACAATCTTGTCATCCCATCGATTTGAGCTGAATTGGCACAAAAAGATAACATTTGCCTTGATGAAACCCCATGTCCCGTGAAGACAAGAGTCAAATGATTGAATCATCGAACCTGAGACTTGAAGGCAAAACTTCAATGACCCCAACTACTTGGCTGTGTCTCAATTTGACCCACATAAACATGCCGGTCGGCCGGTCGGCCTCTTACCTAAGCATTCAAGTCTCTGCTCTTTTTCCAGCAATCGCAATGCCGTGCCGAGAGCAGCAGGAGTGCCACCCACGCTGTTCCACATCTCCTTGGAGAAAAACACAAGATCTCAAAGGTCGAAAGGGATAGAGAACATTCTTTTCAAGAATACCCTGGTAACCAGGTTGTTTTTGGGAGGTATTCACCAACGTCTCTATCAGTCCCAGTCCACGCACCCAATCAGAAACCACCACCACCGCCCGCCTCAGGCGAATCCCCACCCACCGAGATGGGTCCTTCTGCCAGCGCTTCAAGCCACACTTTGCTCGGCCCCACGCCCTGGCGCACGGGTCGCGGCATTTGACCGTGATGACCGCTGTGGGTCGTTGGAACGGCTATGCATTGCTCACCATAGGGGGCCATAGCGAACTCCTTTCCCAACGCTGCACCTGCCGTCTGGATGGCCCCTCGTCGCGCCTCCATCATGTCTGTGAAGACGTGGTTCAAGAGAATCACCGTGTCCTGGTGAGTTCGAAACCAGGACCCATCAGGTTCCCAAAAAAAAACCAAACAGACCAGGGGACCCATCTCATGTCTGACTCAACGCGCCCAAAGACCTGGCGCGTAGACCTCCCCCCGCCTCCCCAGTCCAAGTTGTCCAACCCCATGGACTGGGGCACCAGAAAAGCTCTCAAGCTGCCCCCTGCGTTCTCGCCAACCCGTGGCGGGCCACTGCTGGCCGCGACCGCTGGACTCCGGGCTTCTTGGATCTTCTTGGGCCCTCTGGGGCGAAGGGTGTCCTCAGTTGCGAGGCTCAGGTTTTGTGGTGATGATGATCATGGATCTCAGGGGGACTGTTTTGGTGCAGGTTGGACAGGGTTTCGGGTTCACAGATGGCTGGAATGTTTGGAGAGGTGTCACCTCATGGGCGAACCATCCTTTCGGTCCTGGAGGGTTCTTTCATCTCGCTCGTGGCTGGTCGGCGGCACCGTTGGTTGGGTCAACATGGGTCCTTCTCGGGCAGGGTGAGTTGGTCGTGTGGGCATCGCAATTAGAACCCATTCTTCTCGTTTGTTGACTGCATAATCATATACAAGTATAAGCAGTGCTGATACGACCAAAAATGGCTTTACTGTACATGAGAAGGAGTGTGGCATGGCTCAATATTTGTTTAAAGGCCCCCGATTTTTGAGGATCGTCTCGTTTTTGAAGAACCAAGGGCAGGTGGAAGTCCTTTGAACGACAGAGAGTTTCTCCCAACAACTGTGCCCGGCCAGCGCACCAAGCTCCCCACGATCGAGACAAGCTTTGCGGATGCTGTTTGGATCGAAGACTCCGGAGGCCACGGGCCTTATGCACTGAAGAAATCACTTCAATTGAGCCATGTCAAGTCATGTCTGACTTGTCGACTGTTCGAAGGATGGATGACCTGACTGCAGTGAATTTGTTTTTACAGTCCTCTCGGCCACACATGCTTTGGATACATCCACAAGTTGGAATAACCCCAAAGATTATCAAAGATTGGATGCAGCATGGAGATGAAAAGGATAGTCCAATCAGCCTAGGCAGGGGCCGGCTATACCCCTGCTGCACCCAGCTCCACCGCCTCAATCTGCCGCCAAGGCGCGGACTCCGCAGACGGCGCGGCCTCACGCCCCGTGCTTCTTCGCCTCAGCGGTGGCTCCACCGATCCCCTCCGACCGTCCGTTGGGGCCGTACAGGCAGTGACGGCACCGAGCGACGAGCGAAGGCGCCGAGGCCGAGGCCGACGCGACACGGGCCACAAGGTCTTTTTGAGGCGACGCTGGACACCGAGCCGATCCTTCAGGACGTTCAATGTGAATGGAGGCCCCCATGAAAATCGGAGTGGCTGTGGTGTGCCTGACTCCAAGGGAGCTGTCACTGTACACTGTACACAGGTGATATCACAGGTGGTTGGAAAGGCATCGGAGTCCGGGCATGACTGGATCTTCAGCAATCTGTTGCAAAGGGGCTAAACGGCTAGCTGAGCTTCAATTTCCATCAATGTCCAACGATTGACGGAAAAACCAATGAATACACCACCAATTGTCAAAGCAAAGGAGCATCAACACCCAACAAACATGCGGTCTTAAAACGGCTGGAGCACATGGCGTGCCGGTGAAAAACCCTTCAAACACCAAGCTCTCCTTTGCTCCGCAGCTTAGGCACGCCTGGCGTTGTCCTAGCTCTCACAGTCCAGCTGCATCCGCAGCCGCGCCGCACTCGCGATCTCTTCGAAGTTGCTACGGCGGTAGAGCAGCGTGTTGAGGAGCAACGCCACACAGCCGGACACGATGCAACCCAGCCAAAGGCCTCCGAGGCTTTGACACGTCTAAGGCTGGACGAAACAAACCAAGGAATGGCGTGAACCCAAGGGTCACTGTGGGCCTGGCACGCCCAAGCGCAAGGGAAAGCCCAGAACTCCGGAGGCAGGCAGCATGACCACCCAATAGCAAAAGATCGACACCTTCGGCGAATTCGGCGGTTCGGCGCCATGCAATTCCCGCGAACTGCTTGGCTTCGATGGTTTGGTTTCATGGCCAAGGAACTCTTGAAGCTTTGGCTTGCAGCCCAAATCCTAGACCGCTGGAACCGGACCGCCGAAGTGAAGAAACCAAACCCACTGGCAAACACACCAACCCCACCAATGCAAAACACGCCAAAACGCGACAAACACTGGACGATGATATTTTTTGGTGCCCAGCTCCTTGAAGTGCCCCCTGGATGACTTGGTTCATGCCGTCCAACATGCTTTGGATGGCCAGCAAGGGCAGCAAGCTAACCAGGATCTCCTGCACTTGAAGGTTCTTCGGAGCAAAGGCTCCGGCGATGACCTGCTGACCTCGGTCTCTCCGCTGACCCAGTCGGCCCCCCTCCCTCGTTGAGACAACTGATGCAAATGCAATCGGAGAAGGACCCACCTTTGGCTCCACCTTTGGGGGTTGGCTTACATCGTTGAGTCAGTTTGGGTCTCGTCCATTGGTCCAAGTGGCCGAGACAAACCGCGATGCCCATGCAGCCCCCCACGAGGAAGTTCCACTGCAGCGAGACCCGAAAGAATTGCTTCACCTCTTCATGGGCATTTCGACCGGTAGCACCTGCCAGGGGATGCCGATGCCGGGGATGCCGATGCCGATGCCCCGCATTGACGAACCCCCCCTACAAAGCGCCACAGATTGCCAATCTCTGTGATTGTAGCAACACTCTTGGAGCCAAAACGGCTTAGACTCTGCAAAAGGTTCAAACCAGGAGCGTGACCATGTAGATGTCCAGCATTTTCCCGCCTCCAATCAAAGCTGCTGTCGCCTTTTGTGCACCTGTCCCAGCAAGGTACAAGATGTTTGAGACGTTGCAAGCAGCCACATGCGCCGCAAGCTTCTCCTCCGAATTCAAGCACTGACGCAATGGGATCAACAACGACATGCACTGCACATCAACAGAAAGTATCAGCACCAAGCTTCTGGTGAGTGGAAGTAGCCTGCAAAGAGCCCAATCAACTCCTCAGCCGGCCCAGGCTATAAGCAGCAGACTTCAACTATGGCCACACCCGGCCCTTGAAAAGCTTCACCCCCTGCTGCCGGAGAGTCAAAGGCCCACCATTCTACCGCCTGCATGGCGACGCAAGGCACCGCCAAATAGAAGTATTCCAGAAGACCCGGCCAGACCTGACGAAATACGCCACGGTCGAATCCACAAAGGCGATCTGCCACGACTCCGAGCTGTGGGAGGGCGGAGGGACGACGAAGTCCCGTGTCGACTGGACATGGGGATGTGTCAAAAACCCGAAGCCTCAGAGGGGTTAGTGTCAATGTCGCTTTTGCAACGGAGGGGGAAGCCATCAACGAGGTAGGTCATTTCGTGCTATCAGATGCTATCAAGCATTTCCTCCACTAGTCCATTCCAAGCTCAGAACATTGTGCCAGGGCACTCGATCCCCTTTGAAGGCTTTCCACACTCGCCACCAATGACGACAGCTCGAGAGCGGCGACAACCACGAAGCATAAAGGCCTATGTCGACGTGCTCGCTCAAACTGTGCTTTCTCGCCACCGGCCTGTGCTACCGAACTTTGAAACTCCTGGCCTAGCAGGACAAAGTCGATCCATCCTTTTAAAGCCATGGCCACCCCAACACCTGGGACACGTGCGACGCGACGCGACGCGTGCGGAAGCGGCGTGGGTGTATCAAAGTGTGGCCGAGTCGGGCCTCGCATTCGATATCGAGGGACCAGCAGCGTGCACCATAGGTAATGGAGAGGAAGCGAGATGGCCTGTTTCCACACTAGGATGAGAGGTCTTGATGCCAGTGTACAGTAATTACTCTCATAATCTCTCATTCAGCAGGCGTTTGCATAGTTCTGGATGCTTGATCTTTGAAAACAGCTACATGACATGAACAGATCTTGATCTGACAGATCTTCATCACAAAGAACTGACCGAAGAACGCGAAGAACCCGGCCTGGACCCACATGCCCGGTCTGGCAAGTTTCTGCGCCGTCAGGAACTTCCGGAGGGCGCTATACTGGAAGGTACCCAGCAGTCCAGCCACCATCAGCCTGGCGGTGCGACGGGTCGGCGGGGTCCCCATTTTCTCCGCAAGACTTTGGTCGTCTTTTAAAGAACCTTCTGCAAGTTTCCAATGTTTGAAGTGCTCCGAATAAAAGAGAAAAAGAAAGGACTTTCAATTGGTGTGTCTCCTGAGCAGTTTCTTGCCTTGGGCATCCCAAGATTGTCTTGGGGAGGGGTCGATTCCGGTGTGGTGAAACACCCGATTTGACCCAAAGCTTCGTGCAACCGTCCACCGGGGTACCGGGGCGACACCGAGCACCGACGAGGCACCGAGGCACCGAGGCACCGAGGCACCTGGTGTAGTTGCCCGCATGCTCGGCCGTCTCTCGATCGCAGGCGCCCACCAGAAGCAATAAAGGCTCGGTGAAGGCGATGAAGGTCCCGCTGAAGAGGAAGAGACCACACATCCAGACCTGCACCATTCATGGCACTTGGGTGGGAGCGTCTTTGGTGGAACGTCTCTGCAAAGCTTGTGGAAGAGGAAAGAAAACGACTGTTCAGAAGTTTTCCTTTTTCGAACTGCAAGCCCTTTCTTTGTCACCCTAAATCCATGGTACGCCGTGCTGGCTGCCCGCCATGCTCGCCATGCCCGCCTGACAGCGGTGGAGATAGAGCTCGCACAGCTCCAAGCGGTTGCTGCCGAAGGCCTGGGTCACCAAGGTGTCCTGGCGGAACTGGCCGTGCCCGACGGGTTCCGCATTTGGCTTTGGCCTTCGGGTCGCCGTGCGGAGTCGCCGTGCGGAGTGGCTCTTCAGGTTCTGCGGTTGCAGTGGTTCTTTGGTCAAATCTACAAGAGTGGCTCTTGGGCATCAAAGAAATCGAAAGACGAGAGGAGAGAGAGAGAGAGAGGGACAAGGAATAAAAATAGAAGTCCCCCCAAGTACCAAGATGACGCCAGCACACTGACCTGGCTCTTTCACTGGCTGAAGTGGTCTCTAGCAAAAGTGATAACTTCGATGATCATCACCCTCTCCTGGGACCCAGTAAAGCCAAAGCCGACGGCCAATGCTGCGCAGTTGTAGACGAGATTCCTGAAGCTTGCGCGGTTGAAGAGTGGAGCCCGGTCTCAAACAGCGTTTCCGTGCAGCATGCGTTTTTACAAGCAAACGAAAAGAGAAACTCAGACTTGTAGAATCGTAGAAAAGAACTTGGAAACATGGAAAAGCAATGCGAAACAAGGAAATTCCTTCTTTGTCTACGCAAAAGAACTCAGACTCTTGCTGCCGTGGGGCCCCAGGCCTAAGCCTGCTAGCTCGCGAGCGCTGCCATGGCGCGCCAAGCACAACAAGGAGATGGTCTCAGTGGCCATCAGCAAGAGGTACCTCAACCGTTTTTGGCAGAGAATGTGTGCTATAGGCTTGTGGCACCATCAACCGTTGAGGCCACTAAACAAAGGTCGCTAGCGGTGGATCGGTCCTTGTTTCAATGGTTTGGATGATTTTGATTTCTTTCAAGTCCCGAAGCCATGAAGGATGTCAATCGAGTCAATCTGTTCAAAAGCGAAGCCTCCAGCGTGTGGCCCCAAAAAGCCTTCAGCCAGGGCGCATTCCCATGGTGGGCGCAGCCAGTAGCGCCACTTGCCGCCATGCCGAGCATCGGGATACAGCGCCATCGTGATCCGCCCACGTCATCTTCCACCGGACACACCGTGGTTGGATGGCGCGGCCAGGGGACGAGTCATCCACGGTCTGCACCGTCTGCACCGAAAGGGAAAAAACGGGGAGTCTGAGGGCTTGGGCAGTTTTAACACGGTTCCCCCGAGTCACGGCTTTTGGATCCACGCCAACTCTTGGCACACTTTGGATCCAACCCAGTCACCGGGCAAATGACCAAAGGTTGATGAGTCGATTGGGTGTCATGCTGGGTGTCTGCACCTGTCACGTGGCTCCTGCATGGGGGGGTCTTGCAGTTTTTGCCCCTTACAAGTTGACCATGCCGGAGCATAGTTCCCGTGCTCGCAAGATTTTGAGCAATAACAGCTCATCGCCACACATGGGTAGAAGGATCGACCAACCAACTTCGCTACGTGTCGGCTGCACCTGCCCTCAACGTGACATATGCAGCACGACGACGAAGTAACCGGAAGCCCAATGCCCTTGGACTTGTTGCATACACAAAATTTCAGGTTCACTCCACCCGATTTACTTGAAGCTGGGTTCGAGACCCCATGATGAACAAGGATCTCAAGTGCCAAATGTACCTGGCTTGCGTGGCAGGAATAGGAACCGTGAGTGCAAAACAACTCAGCGCGCATGTTGCGATGGCTGTTTGATTCTATACAAGTCTGAAGAGCACCTTCACAAACCAAGAGAAACACCTTAGGCATGCACCTCCCCTCAACCACACAGCACCTCCAGGTGAGAAACTATACAATCTCGAAGACACCCCACTAAGAGGAACTAGAAGAGGAATGGGTGGGCATTTCGCCCAAAATGCAGAGCAAAACCAACAGCAAGACAAGTAGGATAAGCACCCTGCCCTTTTGCCAATTGCAGGGTGAACCTGAGAAGCCCCGCAAGAGGTCAGGAATCGTGGACATGAAGCCACCAAGTACAAGACCGTGTTTACTCTAACCAGCCTGTCTTCAGTTAGCATCCGCATCAAGAAAAGGGCAAGTTCTCGATATATTGGGTTGCTTTGCCGATACTCTGATTGGATCTACCCCTTCCTCCAGTACCAACTGGGTTGGGAACTAACTGCAAAGTTGACGGTTTCGAAGGCAAAGATGGACGTCGATCCTGGAGGTAGATGTCACCTGAAAGGACAAAGGTAGGCTTGGAGCTCTAGAAAACCACAAGGACCAACAACATGCTCGGCTGCAGCTTTGAACACTGGGTGGGCGCACTGCCTGTGCTCCAGGATGTAGCGCAGCACGCCCAGCCGCGGTTGGTCGTTGGTCCATTTTAATTGAGGCCCGCCCAAATAAATTGATTGGCCGATGTTGTCAGTTGCCAAGTCCCACCAAAATGGATTTCAATGCTGCAAATCCTGTGCTTATCCGTGGCCCATTCCAATATGGCTCCGAAGGATTGAACCAGTCCCCTAAAAAAATAGAAACATAATATCATCCCAAATAGTGAATTGGAGATTATTCTTCCTGGCCATCCAATTCTTTCATCCTGGCCCTCGCATCTTCAAGCTGCTCCTGGGTAGCCATCTCCATGCAAAGAAGCATGTCCAGCTTCACGGCCTCAGCCGGCGGTGGCCGTCTCAAGTGAGCGACCACTGGGCAGCGACCAGTGCACAGCGGTCCGGTGTTTCCGCCGCAGACCTCATAGGCATGATTCCCATCAATGAAGATCAAGTCGAACTCGATGTGCCGAAACCTGGGCGACAACCGGCTTCCGGTCCCGGCTTCGCCGACCGGTCCCGGCTGACCGGTAGAAGCGGCCAAGCGGCACCGAGGACGTGTTGACACCAACGGCTTCGAGGGTACCCCTTGAAACTACTGGTTTGCAGAAGAAAATGACCGTAGAAGAATCGGTGTTGTGTACCGAATCGGGGTTCTGACGGTTCACGAAGACACGTTCTCCACAGCATATGTGTTCAGGTTCTCCGCCGTTGGACCCCAAGACGTGGACCAAACATAATATATAATAGACCTGAACGAAAACACGACACCGGGCTCATCAGTGGAATACGGCGAAGTGATTCTGCTCTACTGGACATGTTTCCACTTTCTATGCCTGTGGGCAAGGAGCGGCTTGGGCTCACTTGCTGGTTCGGAAAGCGCCATCCTTGTGAATCCCAAAACCAACTACCGGATCCAAACCAAAAAGAAACCAACAAACCAACTCACCAAAACCAAAAAGAAAAAAGGTTCCCTCCAGTCGGGCCCATCCCAGCCTTGGCAGCATCTCGGCCGAATTACCCTCTAGAAGGAGATGCGTTTGCCCGTGCTCCTCGCAGTGACCACTGGCCACCCGGGAGGAAACGTGGGGACAACTGGATGATGCTTCCTGCGGTCCTTTCAGGATGAGTCAACGAGCAGGACCGCCCTAGCTCACCACCATTTTTGAAAAAGGAACGGCCATTCCGGCACCAAGCAATGAAACAACAGACCAGGGTAGACAATCACAGAAGCGCTGTAGAAACCGAACTTCAACAGCCCCCGCAGCTGATTGGGTGGGTGTTCCTTCATACGTCTGTCCCTTCGTGCTTACTTCGGGAGGTTGTCTGCCCTTTGGAGCGCAACTCTACGAAGAGGATCTGGTTGCAGCACCCATTCAGAAAACCTTCTGCCAATGGCCCTCCAATATATTGCATAGTTCTTGAGAAAATGCATCTCTTCATCTCTTCTTTTCGCTGAAGCCTTAAGCATCACAGCCGACAGCCGAGGATGTCGAGTTTTATTCGGAACTCCTGGGCCAAGGAGGAGACCACTCGCTCCAAAGGTTTGGTGTACCTCGGCGGATGAAGTAATGAACAGCAAAGAAAATGTCAGAATCTCTTGACATCCTTTGAACCATTGAAACGAGGAAGACTACCTACGTACAGTATAAGCAAGTTTGTTTTGGGCATAATACTGGGATCTCTCAAGAACACGAAAAAGGACCACCAAAAATTACGCCTCATCAGTCCGTTTTCATCCCACCTCCATGACATTAACTCCATCCTACCACCGGGCTCACCAACGAATGATGGCCCAAGTCCAAGGAGAGCAGCACACTACCCTCCGGCGCCTGTCGTTCACAGCAGCGCCCAGCACCGGTGGCCCGGATACAGGTGGCCGGTCCACAGCCATGTCTGTGAACGGTTGGAATGGTCCAAAGAAAGGTGGTCTAACTGAAACAAATGCATCTGCGGGTCAAAACCTGTGAGCCCTGTGCACCCGTAGGTGGTTGACCATGTCTCATAGTCTATTCATTTTCGGGTGGTCCAGCAGGGCCCCCGCAGTTTTCACCCGCAGCCATACGGGTGCAGCCGTGGAGGCGGGCGTCACCGCTTGCCCCAGAACTGTTCGCCAGCTTGGCCCTTCAGGCCCTTCAGGCCCAAAACAACACCCACCGTGAACCAAAACAGACGTCTGAATACGGTCGAACATACGTCATTTTTGTTTCGTCCTAACCGACTGACTAACCAATGGAACAAACCGCCATCATCCTCCCCACCTCCGCTCCCACCGAACCTGGTCCAGCAAGGCGGCAGCGCTGTGGCCCGCATTGAAGCCTTCGGTCCATTCAGTGAGGGGGGGGGTCGTTTCGATTGGTCTCTTTTCTCCAAGCTCCACATCCAAAGAACTGCATCCGTCCTTGCATGTGATTTCTTCTCAAACACTCACAGCTCTGGAAACCACTCCACACAGTCCCAGATGTGGTTTTCACCGCCCCATCCGCTCGGTTCGTGTCCAAGAACCGACCGCCGAACCGACGCCACCCGACGCCCCGGACCGATTTGGCACATCTTCAGGCCGCCGTGGAGGTGTTGGAAGCGTTGCGCCACGAAGGAGCGGAGGAACTGCGGAGTGAGAGGTTCCGTACGGGGCAACCAGCGGGCGAACGAAGCCGGACTGACTCCGCTTTCAGGTCGGGGGGAGGCCTGGGGTTTCTGTTTGGCCTCTTTGAAGTTGATGTGTACACTTGGTTTGGTTCTGCTTTTGGATGCTTTTCGGATGGATCACAATCCCAAAAGGGATTGGTGACAGAAATAGTTCTACAGGATCCACAGGACATGCACGTCAATCACAGCCTCATATGTCTTTGTGAACACCATGGACTTGCCATGCAAGAAATCCTCAGACATCTGCCACATGCATGATCACAAAGGACTACAAAACATGAACTAACTATATAGGGTCTGACAAGCTCCCTGTCACCAGTCTTTAGTCGGGGGTGCGGGGGTGCAAATTATACAACCATCAACCCTGGCCCTGGGCACGGGGCGGTTACGTCCAAACCCTGCAGAAACCATTCGTTTGCACCGACCTCCAGCTGCTCTGGAGCACAGTGGCCCTCCAGCTCCTCGGGGTGGAAACGATGAACGAAAAGCTGGACCCCTCTCTGCGGTCGGACTTCACATACTCGAAGGCAAGGCCAAGGTGTTACGGGAATTTCATAGCGGTACACAAGAGTCAACGCATGAGGACCTGTAGTTTCAGGGGACAAACAAACAAAACATGTGGCCCTGCGCCCTGCTGAATCTTGTGGCCCAAAAATCCTCCGGAATCTCGCAAAACCGGTGCCGCTTTACGCCACGCTCCTCTTGCTGAGCTTCGGGGCAAGTGGCAATGGCCGTTCTTAGCTTGTCCAAGTAAAGACCTAAAGCGAGGATTGGCCACTCGGCTGATCCGTGACTCGGACATGTGAGAATCGTGAAAGAAACCGCCCGTAGGGGGGGAAGTCGAGAGACTTGAGAAAGGGGAGGAGCAAAATCCGTGCCCAAAGTGCCATGAAAACACCCAGAGACCGTCACAAATGGTAAATCTGCCACGTGCCATTACGCATCACTAGACTCACCTCCGACCACCACAAATACACCCAAAAAATAGCGCCTCCCGGCCCCGGACAGGTGTTTTTTGCAACGCCCCCCTCAGACCTCCGATTTCTCTTGGTTTGCAAACAGAATACTTCAGCCCATGCCTTCTGGCCGGCTTTTGTCATAAGATCGTTTTGCAAACCAAAAACTGTTGATTGTCTTTTGACATAGAGGGACCCACAGTACGTCAGTTAATCTGACGACGAAGTGGCTGATCTGTGTCACTTTGAATGTGCCAAAATGTAGTACTTCAGCCGAACTCCCTAAAACCTACAACGCAGATAACATATTTTTCGAGCATAGTCGCAATGCATTTGATCCGCTTAGCAGAGAAACTATAAAACCAATATGAGCGAACCGCCGACTGTCGAGCTCCGGTTCCGAGGAGTCTGATTGAAAATAGCTACAATTTCGAAGCCTGACGTTTGCAGATCTGAATGAGCACTCTATGGCTCAAAAAGAACGAAGGGAAAAAACAACGTTCGGTATGCCGGTATGCCTATAAAAAAAATACAGATCCGATCGAGTCCTATATGGTTCAAACAGAACGAAACAAACACTGGAAGATTCAGATATGAGAGAGTTGGTTGCAAGCACGATTTTGGCCAGAAGGATTTCACTTTTAATCTTTGGCTCAAGCTTGAGGATAGGGTAAGCTGATTTATGTTCTGGCAACAGTGTCATGAATTGCGCTGCAGAAGACGTTCGTCTCTCGGTAGAGGCATTGTGGAACCTTTGTCTGTTTTCTGCAAAATGCCGTCGATCCATTGTTGAGGCAGGTTCTCGCAATGTCCTCATTCCAGCCAATGCTCAGATCCTTGACGGGGCACAAGCTTTACAGGGCCGCCTCACTCGCACTCACACGCACTCACTCTCACTCACACTCACTCTCACTCACACTCCCTCTCACTCACACACTCACTCTCACTCTTGGGGTGGTAATTCTCAACAGAATAGGGGGCTGATGGTTCCGTGATTACCTGACGGTTATGGTTGCAATGATCCGATACGGCGACAGCCCGCTTGGCACTGCCTCTCACCCAGCGGTACTTGGGGTTGACGTCGCAACCTGCGCGTGAGCATCATTCTGCGGCGCGGCTGCGACAGTTTGGCTCAAGTCAGAGGCCTTGGGCGAGGGTGGAGGCGAAGCCTCTCGCTCCTCAAAGCAAAAAAAAGAGAGCGCAGATGGCAAAGGGTGACCAGGATTGCGCGGGCCTGTGGGCTTGGCGGTGGAGACCGGACGTGCAAGCGCCCAACCGGTGGCCCGTTTGGGCTCGGGTGGCAGAACCTTGCGACACCGCCCGTCCTGCAAGGTCGGAGAAGACGAAAAGAATCAGCAAAGTGGTGAGGCAAGTGGCCTTGCCAAACCGCCGCTCGTTGCACTTCAGGCAGTAGAGCCAGTAGGGCGTCTTTCTGCCTGGCTGAGAGGAGGGCTACGTGAATTTTGCGCGCGCCAACAACTTCGTCGCCTGGAAGGTGCTCCCACTTGGTGCCTTCGTGGGTCTTCTAGAGGTGCACCAGCCTGGCCAGATACAATTGTTTTGTTCTGTGTTTCAGGTCATGGCTAGTTGCGTGCGGGTCATGGACCTTAATCGGAAATCCTGATGAGGCAAGTATTTTGCATCGACGCCCGCACGTTGAGGACCACACCCGCAGTCTGTGCACAAGGGGTCGCCCCCCTTGTGGCCTGGCCTT